CTACGGGGTTTGGTCCCTCCTGACAGAAGCAAGACGATCCATGAAAACAGATGTTTAGAAAATCCTGCATTTCCATAAACCTGCCTGACAGCAGGAGGACCTCTATCAACATGATTTCCAGATCCAAGGTTAGTATGGATATACTTGGCAGGCAAAAATGAATTAAAACTCCTCAGTGGAGCATCCTCGGACATGAGAGTAATTCAAACCTACCTACAGACCCAGAGACAGCCTTATCAATAATTTCTTTCCTTAAAAGCTCATGCAGCATCCTAGACATCCCCCAAATTCTGGAGTCTCTGCTAACCTTGACAACTTCAGTCCCGTTCTTATTTTTAGGCTGGAAGCTGACAGGTCATTTCTTACTCTGTATCTTGCTGTTATTATTGTGCCTCAGCACATAAGGCCCTAAACCAGACTGGAGAGACTGGAGGCAAACAACTGGAGAATTATGATATGAAATACATGGATTGCACTGTCCATTGATAAGAAGATGCTTAAACTTATTAACACCTTAGAGCTCCAGAGACTTACTTAATTAGCTTATTTACTGGGAAGATAAATGAGCAGGTTGTACAAGGTGACTTGTGCATGTGTGTTAGAGGAGAGGGACTGACTCCTCTGGCACAGAGCATGGGTCTCGAAGACGGTGACCACTGCGGTGTGCTCGGCGGGGCTACTCCTGCCTTTGACCTCCCCGCACCTCGGTAATGGGCCGCCTTCTCGGAAACCACACCTTCACCTGGGCTCGTCCGTTAGAAATTCAGCCCAGGAAAAACACCAAAGGAAGGCGGAATTCTCAAAGCAGAGGGAAGCAGCAAAGCAGCCAAAATGGCAGGGTTGCCACTCCTGCCGCACCTCAGCCTCTGCAGCACCCTCGCTGCACGCGTGCAAAGCCACCGTACGCAGCCCAGGCGTGGAAACTCCCAACAACGGTCTTTACACGTGCCCTTGTCCTCTGACCATCCCCGGGGCCAAAGCAGTCTGACCACATACTTACGCACACAGACAGGCGTCTTCCCGGACCAGCGGTGATCCTGCTGGCAGATCCGCACGGACATCCCGATGAGGCGGAACCCGGGGCTGCACTGATAAACCACGCTGCCGCGGTAGTTGTAGTTCTCCCCGTTGATCTGCCCGTTGACGATGGGGCTGGGAACACCGCAGTGGCCCGCTGCAGGAGAGACACGCAGAGTCACCCCGGGCTCGCGCCTGGCCCCCCGAAGGCATCGCACCCCACCCTGCCCCTCCAGGCAGAGCTGAACTCCAGACTCCGCAGTCGGACACGAAACCAGAGCAGCAGTAAAATCAACATATCACTTTTAAAGCCCTCCTCTCCAATCTCAAAACACCTCACACCTACTGAGCAGCAAGGAATCAAAGTCTGCTTCCTTTTTATATCTGCTTAAAACCCTACAGCTTCAGCAGCGCTGAGCCCTTGCCTGGGTTCTTTCTTCAATCAGTACCTACAATCCCTGCTCCCTCCTGAAACGCAGACAGGACTCTCCCCACCGCACCACGGAGACTCCCCACCTACCCAGACACCTCACTTCTGCTCCGCTCCAGAGTCCGTTGGCCATGCACTCCCGCACACGGGACCCTACCAGGGTGTAGCCCGTGTTGCAGGAGAAGATGGCTGTGGCCCCGTAGCTGGTCAGCGTGCCGATCTTGTTCCCGTTGGGCGGAGTCGGCAGGTCTCCGCAGGAGATAACTGAAAGAGGTCCCAAGGCACAGTCAGTGAGAACAGGCAGGGAGCTGCGGTTTTTAAAGAAACGCACTCAGTGACGCTCACCACCACAAGTTATTACTGAAGTCAGAAATTCGTAAGAAAGATTATTAAATAGTTACATGGATAATAACAACACTTCAGAGTCATGTTACATGAGGTGACAAATGCAAGTGCTATTAATATTTATGCTTTAGGACACAAGGGAAGTACTACAGATAAAACTGGCTAGGAAGCAACTACAGATGTTTCTCACCCAGGAAGCTCTTAACAGAGGAATATTTCTATTACTAACCCGTTGCTAGAGATAGCTGGGAAGCCTCACTTCCAGAAAAGCCACAAAATGGCTCGAGATTTGCAACTAGAAAGCGACACCCAGCTTCTTCCCGCGCCGTGACTTCCAGAACAGAGCTGAGTGGGATGGGAAGCACAGAGGACAGCCCAGCTCGCAGGGTGCAGCCGGAGCCTGGCCAGGAGCCCGCACAACCGCAGCTCCCCGCCACCTTTATTTTATCTACCTTCAAGATCTGCAAACCCTCTGGAGCTTTCGCACTCCGCAAGAAATCAAGAGACTCACGCTGGGTGCTTCTGACCTCCGTGCATTGCCAAGATCCTGTCACGCGAATTTAGGTGGCAACAACACAGCCGAGATAAAACGGGGTCAGGCTCACGCTCCTGGAACCGGGGGAAGAGCTAGCAGGGGTAACACTGCATCTGTCACCACTTGCATCTCCAGAAACAAAGGGAGGCAGGAGGGAAGGGAAAGCTGCCATTCTGAGGGAGACGTTTTTCTGTCTGTCTCTGTGCTGAGAGAGGAGAAAAACCTCACCTTTGACAAAAGGCAAGCTCCAAAGCACAGCACTCCTGTCAGAACAACTGAGCCAGCTGCTTGTTTGCCAAGAGTGTTTTTGATTTACAGGTAACACTGTTACTCTCATAAACTTGGCGTTTGCATAAAATGGGAAGAGGGTAGGTTTTAAATCAGAATTTTTTATTTTCTTTCTTAAAACCAAACTTGAGAGTATCTGGCACCAGCGACAGCTAAGCTGCTGAGACCCAACAGCAAGAGCTGAGCTAACGCGCCGGAGTTCTCGCAGAACCAAGAATCAGATCAACAGAGACCTCTCCCCGCATCCGCACCCTCTTCTCCTGGAGCAGCTCTGCAGCCCCGCTCCCCGCTGCTGCCCAAAGCGCCCAGGGCTGTGGTGCGTTTGCGTGCCAACCGCAGAGCTCACGCACCCACCGCAGGGAGAAGAGAGCCCCCAGCCCCTGCCAGGCCCCCCACGCGGCTCCTGGGCTTCGCCGCTCTTACTTTTACAGGTCGGCATCGGGTCGCCTATGCTCCACCTCCCGTTGGCTTGGCACCTGATGACCCGCTGGCCCGTGTAGTAGTACCCCGGGTCGCAGATGAGCATCAGCTGGGCGTTGTAGTGGTACTGGATCTCGTAGGTCAGCCGCCACCGGCCGTGCTCCACCGCAATGCTGTTGATATCGGGACAGGCGACAGCTAAAAGCCAGATGTGGTGAGCCAGGGAAAAGAAACGAGACAAAAAGATGTTCATAGGTGTTAAATTCCGGGGCACTTCGGGGCATTTCAGCAAGCATGCTGGCTGTTTAACAAGGGGACCAGCATTGGCATCTCTGTTTTACAGGTGGGATGCATTAGGAGGAGTGTGGCCAACAGGTCCAGGGAGGTTCTCCTTCCCCTCTGCTCTGCCCTGGGGAGGCCCCATCTGGAGTACTCTGTCCAGTTCTGGGCTCCCCAGTTCAAGAAAGATGAGGAGCTACTGGAGAGAGTCCAGCGGAGGGCTACGAGGATGG